GATAAGCATATAATCAATGGAACAGAATAGAGTTCAAAAGTGGACTAACATATATGGGCAAGTAATTTTCAGTACAAATCAGTGGAGGAAAAGTATTTTCAACAAATGATGCTATAATAGTTGGATTCAATATGCCCTAGCACCATAATTTTTATTCATACTTCACCCCATATAATTCTGAATGTGCCATATCCCCAAATTTAATCTAAACCTACAACAGCCTAGTGACTGTTGATTACTCAGAGATTTCTTAGAAGGGTCAGTATTGTGGCCCAGCAGGTTAAACCACCACTTGCAATGCTAGTACCCCATGTCAGAGTGCTAGTTCAAGTCCTAGTTGCTCTGTTTCTGATTCAGCTTCCTACATCTGTGCCTAAGGATGCAGCAGAAGTTGGCTCAAGTACTTGGGTTGACTGCCACCTATGTGAGATGTGGATGGAGTTCCTGGTTCCTGGCTTCAGCCTGACCCTGACTGAACTTTTGTAGCCATCTGTGGAGTGGACAAATGGATGGAATATCTCTTTCTCTGTTTCTCAGGGTGTGTGTGTGTGTGTGCACACGTGCGCGCACATGCATGCATACTCTCCTGTCTCTCTGCCTTTCAAATAAAAAAAAATTCTTTGAAATGATACTTGTGGGGAGCAACTCGGACTAGACTGAGTTACTGGAATTAAGACTTATTCTATGCATCTGCTCTCCCACAATATGGCGCTGGGAGAGGAGTAAACAGCTTCTACGCAGCTGCCTCCAGTTCGACCAATAACCTGCAGGAGCTGATCCTGCTCCTGATTGGAGGAGAGCAGCGTACTCGGCGTGTGGGTAGCAGAGTTGGGATTGGTGGAAGAGGACTATAAAGGAGGAGAGAGACAACATGCACCAGGAACATCTGAAGGAACACCTGAGCAGCCCCCGAGAGAGCCGGCTGGCGGTGTGCCGCTCCCCCGCGGAAGTGGGGAAAGTGGCAGGGGGCACCGCCCTTCCACGGAGGTGGAAGGGACGGTAGCCAACCCGGGAAGAACCAGCAGCAAACCCGGGGAGGGCCGAGCAGACAAAAGAACAGCGCAGGGTCCTGTGTCATTCCTCCGCGAAGAGGGGGAGCGACAATACTAACAACACCTATGAAAGTAAAAAAAACTTTCTATCCTTTCTTCTTCTTCTTCTTCCTTCTTTTTTCTTCTTATTTCTTCTTCTTCTTCTTCTTTTTTTTTTTTTTAAGATTATTTGTCTGAAAGAGTTAGAGAGAGATCTTTAGTCCACCTGTTCACTCCTCAGATGGCTGTAATGGCTAGGGCTGGGCCAGGCCAGAACCAGGAGCTTCTTCCAGATCTCCACTTGGGTAATAGGAGCCTAAGCACTTGGGCCATTTTCTGCTGTTTTCCCAGGCCATTAGTAGAGAGCTGTATTGGAAATGGAGCAACCGGCACTCATTTGAGATGCTAGTATTGCAAGCAGCAGTTTTACCCACTACACCACAGCACTGGCCCCAAAAGCTTCCTATTCTTAAAAAGATGCTAAGAGAATTAATGAAAAGCGTTAGGAGAAGATTTTTATAAAACATATCTGATAAAGAACTTATGTCAAGAATGTATAAAGAGGGGCCGGCACTGTGGCACAGTGGGTTAAAGTCCCTGCCTACTGTGCTGGCATCCAATTTGGGTTCCGGTTCGAGTCCTAGCTGCTCCACTTCTGATCCAGCTCTCTGCTATGGGCTGAGAAAGCAGTAGAAGATGGCCCAAGTGCTTGGGCCCCTGCACCAACATGGGAGACAGGGAAGAAGCTCCTGGCCTCAGATCACCTCAACTCTGGCTAATGTAGCCATTTGGTGTGTGAATCAGTGAATGGAAGACCTCTCTCTCTCTCTCTCTCTCTTTCTGACTCTACCTCTCTCTCTAACTCTGTCTTTCAAATAAGTAAAATAATCTTTAAAAAAAAATTCATTAATCTGCACTCCAGACTAGTTTACTTTGTGGATGCTATTTAAAAAAAGAAGAGTTTTTAAAGAATTTCATTACAAAAGGTAAATAGGAACTTTATCAAGTATGTATAGGTAAAAATATTAGCATGTGACAAGATGCTTAGTATCATTATGTGGTAGGGAAATGCAAATTAAACCAGTAATGCTATAATACCTATTAGAACAGCTAAAATTTAAAAAGTAATCATAATAAATATTGGAGGAACAAGAGTTCTCATATTTCATATGCTGTGATGCAATGTAAAATGGTATAACCACTACACTTTTTATTTTTTAAAATTTTATTTATTTATTTGAGAGGCAAGTTACAGACAGAGAGAGGGGGAAACAGAGAAAAAGTTCTTCCATCCACTGGTTCACTCCCCAAATGGCCTCAACTGCTGGAGCTGGGCTGATTTGAAGCCGGGTGCTTCCTCTGGGTCTCCCACACGGGTGCAGGGGCCCATCCTTCACTGCTTTCCCAGGCCATAGCAGAGAGCTGGATCTCAAGAGGAATAGTCGGGACATGAACCAGCACCCGTATGGGATGATGGCTCCATGGGTAGAGGCTTAGCCTACTACGCCACAGCACTGGCCCTCCACCACTACACTTTTAATTATTTTTTATTTTTATATTTTGACACAGAGTTAGACAGTGAGAGAGAGAGACAGAGAGAAAGGTCTTCCTTCCGTTGGTTCACCCCTCAAATGGCCGCCACGGCTGGTGCGCTGTGCCGATCCGAAGCTAGGAGCCAGGTGCTTCCTCCTGGTCTCCCATGGGGTGCAGGGCTCAAGGACTTGGGCCATCCTCCACTGCCTTCCCAGGCCACAGCAGAGAGCTGGCCTGGAAGAGGGACAACCGGGACAGAATCCGGCGCCCCGACTGGGACTAGAACCTGGGGTGCCGACGCCGCAGGTAGAGGATTAGCCTAGTAAGCCACGGTGCCACAGCCACTACGCTTTTAACATATGATCTGTTATACTCCTAAATATTTACCTAAGTGTAAGCATATGTCCATATAAAGGCGGATACATAAACATTCATAGCAGCATTATTTATAAGAAGCTAAAACTGGCTAAAAATCCAGGTGTCCATTAATACGTGAATGATAAACAATTTGTGACATATCCATACAATGATTTAATACTCAGCAATAAAAGGAATAACTTACGGATAATGCAGCAACATGGATGACTCTCAAATGCCTTATGTTGACAGAAGGAATGTAGACCCAGAAAACAACAGTATAATTCTTGTGATTCCGCCTACCCAAGGGTTGGAAAATGCAAACTAATATATTGTGACAAAACATAAATCAGAGCTAGAGTAGTATGGCTTGAAGTGGAAGGCTAAGAAGAGGCGTGAGGAGATTCTTGGAAGTCATGGGTATGTTCATTGTCTTGATTATGGTGGTGGTTTCATAGATAAATTGTACTCAGTATGTGTAGTTTATGTCAATTTAATCAGTAAAGCAGTTTTTAATATAGGCATATCATAGTCAAACTTCGTAAATTAAAGAAAAATTCTAAAACAAAAGAAAAACAAATTACATACTTAAAGTATGTATTATTATAATTAGTTATATCTGAATAAAACTTCTTATAACTAATTTTAAAAGATGCAGGTATTTAGGAATGTATGTAGAGGTGTTAAGGTAAAGAAAGCATGGAATGGTTATCTGGTAAGGCGGGCAGGTTTTCGGATCGGGGAGCTGTAGAGACTTCAAAGCTAATGGGCATATTCTGCTTCTAAAGAAGAGTACTAGGTACTGTGTAGTGCTCTGTTACTATTCATTTCTACCATTCTGAGTTCACTGGTATAAATTTTTTTAGTGTATGTGATAAATTATGCAATTTTTGAAACTAAAGATAATTTGTTTAAAATAACATGGCCATCTTCCTCTGGATGTTTTCAATCTGATACCTTTTATTGATAATAATAAGTAAGAAAGATTGAGTCTCAATATTTTTTAAAGTTTTTAGAAAACATTTAAAATACCTGAAATGTAGTACCACCTCTAATAGCAATAAAAATGTTTATAACATTCATTATAAATACTTAAGTCCATAAGATTATCTTTCTTCATGTGTATCATTCCTTTTAATTTTTTAAAGTTTATTTATTTATTTGAAAGGCAAAGTGTGAGAGAGAGAGAGATAGAGAAAGAGATTTTCTACCTGTTGATGTTGGTTCACTTTCCATATGGAAAAAATAGCAGGGATTTGGCCATGCAGAAATCAGGAGTCTGGAACTGCTTCTGGATCTCCCACATGAATGGCAGAGACCCAGCTACTTGAGCCATTATCTGCTGCCTCCTCAGTTGCAGGTTAACAGGAAACTGTCTGAAGTGGAGGTGGGGCTTTATCCCTAACGCTTCCCCGGTGGCTTTAACTGCTGTACCACACACCCCAACCCCCTTTATGGTTAAAATCTAAGATACTTCATTTTATTTATTTTAGAAAATAGTAGTGTTTTTTTTTTTTTTTTTTTTTTTTTAACAGGCGGAGTGGATAGTGAGAGAGAGAGACAGAAAGGTCTTCCTTTTGCCGTTGGTTCACCCTCCAGTGGCCGCTGCGGCCGGAGCACCGCGCTGATCCGATGGCAGGAGCCAGGTGCTTCTCCTGGTCTCCCATGGGGTGCAGGGCCCAAGGACCTGGGCCATCCTCCACTGCACTCCTGGGCCACAGCAGAGAGCTGGCCTGGAAGAGGGACAACCGGGACAGACTCCGGCGCCCCGACCGGGACTAGAACCCGGTGTGCTGGCGTCGCTAGGTGGAGGATTAGCCTAGTGAGCCACGGTGCCGGCCGAAAACAGTAGTTTTTAAAATCACTTTCTCTGCGGCTCAGGTTTTTCTATAGAATCCAGTTAACTGGCAACTCTATTACAGTTATTATAGGATGATAAAAGATAGATGATTCTGTGGTTCAGATTTATAGAAATTCAGACCATAAAATAAAATTTTCATAATAGAACTTTGAGGCTCTACACTGCTATTATATTATAACATTTAACCTATACCCAAAGTGCTGTTTTTCTGTTCACAGCCTGCACCAGCATGGACTACTTTTAGAGTTGGTCTGTTTTGTGGAATATTCATTGTGCTGAATATTACCCTTGTGCTTGCCGGTAAGTCATTTAAATTTTGGATTATTTTTATATATTAATGTGACTTTGTTATCTTTTGTCCATCTATAATGAATCAAACATGCATCTGTGAAAGCTGTCGAAAGGAGTTAGTTTTTGGTTTTTATAAATGATGTGGGGCTTTTTGTTTATTCTTTTTCCTTCTTTGGATATGGTCATACTTTAAAGCATTGCTAGTGTGTGATTTATTCATCATTTTCCAGCTTTTATGTGCTGTTTCAGACTTTTTAGAATTCAGTTATCAAGAACTTCAGCTTCCTTGATCATAGTTGAGGATAAATAATTTGTTACAAAATTCATTCACTAAAAATCATTGACTTTTTTTATTGGAGACCCTAACATTCTTTTCAGAATATATTGACAGTTACTTTGCATATTGTTTTAAGAAAGCTTGGTTATATAATTTTGTGGTCTGTGAGAGTTAGAAATCAGAAAGAAGGAGGAAGGATTGCTAGGAGCATTAGTGTTTCCCCGTTGAGAAATAATGTAACAGCAAAAGGTAGGCATAATCTTACTTTCTACAAAATTTGACATACTTCTTGGCAGCATTTCACATTGTTGATCACTACGTCTTGAAACACTTTTATTTATGGCTTTTTTTTTTTTTTTTTTTGGAAATCCATGCTCTGCTGGTTTTCCCCTTAAGTTTCGCCAGCAGTTCTTTCCCAGGATCCTTTGCTAGCCATACCTTTGATTGTGACATTGAGATGCTGAGGAGTACTAGCAGGCTCAGTCCTTGAGTTTTCTCTCTGCATTTCTTTGCTCCCTAGGCGATCTTATTCAAGCCTCTTGCTATAAATACCATCTGTATGCTAATGATCCCAAGCGCAGTCTTCTCTGAATGACATTTGATTGTCTACTTAGATAGAAGTCTGATAGACATCTCAGACTTGGATATACAAAAGAAGGCTTGATTTTTACCCCTAAATATGCTTTGTCCTCTATAGGACACCATCTTTCATCCCATTTCTCAGTCTAAAAACTTCCAGCCTCTCTTTTCCTCGTACTCCATCTCCAGTCCTTCAGCAAATCCTGTTGCTCTGTCTTCAAAAGGTGCTCTAAATCTGATCACTCCTCAGCCCTCTACTGGTCTTTCTTGTTCAGCCATTTCTTGTTCAGCATGCCAGAGTAGCCTTCTGAACCTCTCTCCCTGCATTCCCTCTTGGCTCCTCATGTTGTGGCTTAAGGGGCATCCCGGTGGGGCTTGTTCCAGGCTCTTCCCTCCCCGTGTGAGAGTTCAAGGAAGAAGCTTAAAGGTGTACAGGAAAGCAAGATTTATTTAAAGGGCCAGTACACGCTCACACCTGAGTGTGGTGAACTTTTCATGGGAAAGGAAGAACTGCTGCCTTCACCAAAAGTGGACTTGTCCTTTCGTAGAGAGGGGGTAGAGCCCTAATTCAGTGCTCACATGGGTGGAGTTGGAGGCAGAGCTTGAGTGGCACTTGCTTCCATGTTCCTATCTGGGGGGTCTCAGACGTGTTATGGTGTCTCCATGTGGGGCTTGAGCACACACGTGGTCATCTCTAGGGAACACGTCTCAGTATGTGATGGAAAGGAAGGCTTAGTGCATAATGGAGAATGGGTGTTGAGGGCCTGAGGTCCATGCATAGGCATGGAAGGAGATGGGGTGTAGAGCAGTCAGGCTGTGGCCCAGATGCTGCTGGCAGTCTCTCAGCTCCTCTTTGTTTCCTAGCTACCTCCCTGCCCACATCACTGACAGCCACTAGTGAACTCCTTGCCGTGGCTTACAAGACCCCACAGGATCTCACCTTCCATCTCCAAGGGAATTCTTACTTCATATCCTGTCATCCTCCCGCACGCTCTGCAACCACACTTGTGTGATTGCTATTCCTTGAATACACCAAATCCATTCTCGTGTAAGACATTGCCTTCCACAAGATGTGTGCAGGGCTTACTCTCTTACTTTATTCATAAAGGCCTTTATCCAAATGCTGCCCCTTCAGAAAGGCCTTTCCTGATCACCTTGCCCTAAAATAGTCTATTCTACTCCTTTTTGTCTTTTTAACCTGCATTAGTTTTCCTCAGAGTGCTTATAATCCCATAACATTATATTGTGTACTTATGTTTCTTGTTATCTATTTTTCCACTGGAATGCAAACTTTTTGACTTCTAGGCTCTTGTCTCTCCTGTCCACCATTATACCTCCAGCACCTAGAATACCTCCTAGACTATAGTAGGGACTCACAAAATACTCGAGATGTTTGTATGGTTGGAAGAGAAGGAAAAAGATGAAAATAAGTGATAGACAGGAAATGCACAAATGGCGAAAGACAGAGCAGAATCTCAAATCTTCTTGCAGATAAGAACTTTTTTATGCACAGATAATCTTTATTTACCTTAAGAGTTTATATAATTATGCTCATAATTGTAACTGTGAATCATTAAGAAAAAATTAATTTCTGCATGGTGAGATGTGAAAAGAAATACGATTTAGAAACAGATGTTACTTTATTTATTTAGATATTTTACTTGAAAGGCAAAGTGGGAAAGGAAGAAAAATATTCCAACTGCTGGGTCAGTCCCCAAATGGCTTCAAAGGTATCCCTGGCTGAAACCGGGAACCCAGAATTCCATATGGTCTCCCACATGCGTGGCAGAGGCCCAGGCACTTGGGTCATCATCCACTGAAGTTCGGTAGCTTGGGATCAAACCTGTGCTCTGGTAGAGGATGCTGGGATCCCAAGCAGTGGCTTCACTGTGCCACAATGCTAGCCCCAGACTGCAAAGAAATGTGGTTTATAAATACATGGTACCATATTATACCCACTATATTTTCTTTTGGACTTTTAGTGATCATAATAATGCTCAAACAGAGGCGGCTTTTCTCATTGACATGCTTATCTCTATGGCAGGGATGATGAGTTTTTCATTTTTATTTCAGTTCTCTAAGATAGTGGAAAGCATATAGCAGATGTCTGAGAAATAAGTTACTGAACTCATTATTCCTCATAAATATTTTTCTTAAGGCTGTAACTTGAGCATTATGAAATTATAACTCAAGTCATAATGGTTTTTAGAGAGCATATGAATTTTACATAGTTAACTATGTTTTTGTATTTTCCTTCCCACCAGTTACTAAAAACCAACTTTATTGTTGTCTACCCTAACTTCATGGTTCCTACTGATAGGATTCATGATCATATTTTAAATATACTCCTATTTATTTAGGGTGAATACATTTTACTTATATAGCGTATATGGAAATTCTCCAATAAGAAATCTTTGACCTAGTTTATCTAGCCAGTTGTTGTGGGAAAAAACAGGTCTTCCTTGGTTTTAGTCCCAGCTCTAGCAGTTTTAGCTTTAAGGACAAAACTTAACTTCTCTGAAACAGTTTCCTCATCTGCTCATATTTAATGAACTTAAATATCCTTTTTTTAAAAAAAAAAAAAGATTTATTTATTTGAAAGTCAGAGTTACACAGAGAGAGGAGAGGCAGAGAGAGAGAGCGATCTTCCATCCGCTGGTTCACTCATTTGGCTGCAGTGGCCAAAGCTGTGCCAATCCAAAGCTAGGAGCCAGGAGCTTCTTCCGGATCTCCCATGTGGGTGCAGGGGCCCAAGGACGTGGGCCATCTTCTACTGCTTTCCCAGGCCATAAGAAGAGAGCTGTATCGAAAGTGGAGCAGCCGGGACTTGAACTGGTGACTATATGGGATGCTGGCACTGCAGGCAGTGGCTTTACCCACTATGCCACAGCATCGACCCCTAAATATCTTAAATTTTCAGAGTTGCTTTAGAAATCATTGATTGATTCAATAAATAAGTTTTATGGATCTCATAATTATTCTTGATACTCTGGAGTCTTAAGGTAGAAAAGAATCCCTTTCCTTATGAAATTTACTAGCCCATAAAAATCAAGGTACATATTAAAATAATAATGATATTGGTAGCTTTGGGATCTGCAAGGAGAGAAGGCCCACACTTCCGGGAATGGAGAGTCCCCACCCGCACTTCTGGGGATGAAAAGTCCTTGTCAGGGTCCCTGCAGGTGCCTAAAGGTCAACCAGTGGGGATCAGACCCGCCTCAACCTTTAACCCCCACGCCCTGTATCTACAAAAAGAGTCCTCCCAACAGAGGTTGGGACCGGTGAACCTCGCCCAGAGCGGAATTCCAATGAAAGCTTGTAAATTAATTGATTCATCTGGCTGGGAAGTTTTGTTATGTGCCAGACACCTTGCAGATATATTGTAAGAAGGTGTTAAATGTTCTAAGCAGTTCAAAGGAACAAGTGGTTACTTTCAATCCACAGCACCAGAGAAGGGTTTATGGAAGAAATGGCATTTATGTAAGATGTTGATGGAATGAAAGTCGTTCTAAGGGAAGGGGACAGAAGAGCAAAGAGATACAGTTGGTCTGGGGTGAGAAGGATGAAAGAGGAGGGAGTAGGTTAATTTATATCTTTTATTTCCAAGATACGAGTGTGGTGTTAGCATCATCATCGTTAAATAAGACTTAAGAAAAAATAAACATTTTAATGTGAATTAATTTAAGAAAACTTGCATACTAGTATTAGGAGTATACATTGTTACAATTTCTGTGGAAAATAATTTGGTAGTATATGTAAAAGATGTAAATTGAGGTGTACTTTCCTTAGTAAATATAGGCTGCTTTTGTGAAAAGACTGATCTACTTTTTAACATGTGTGGTTTATGCATTTGGTATTATGCATTATGTTCTCTCACCTCAGAACCCTTTACTTGGTGGGAGTGGATAAATATTGTTAAATCCAGCTGTCTGTCCTTATTTATCTCCCAGTGGGTGCTCAAAGATAAATGTTGAGAGTTAGAGAAAACACAGCAGTAGTAATGCATGTATGAGCATGATATTTTTCCCCAAACATTCACATAAAAATGTGCATAATTGCTGTGGTTTCTCAAGGGGACATGGCCTGATGTTTAGTAATTTGCCTGAAAATCACATATTCTAGATACTCAGTTTCATGATGATGTACAGTTGCC